GATTATTGTATAACCTAAAACTACGTTATCGTCCTTTCTCACTCGAGGCCACGCTATTCATTAGTCTATAGGTTTCTCTGTCTACGCTTTCAAAGTCATACATAATCAATTTTTTTTGTTTTTCTACCACTTTTGCCTAATCATCCTTTGTGACATGGGTACATGCTTTAACGAATACAGATGAAACAGTCCAAAAAGTTTAAACCGACTAACAAAATAAGAAGACAAACACAAAATCACAAAGTTACGCACAGTAAGCTCCCGAAATGGCGGGAGATTGAAATTACGTTGCGGTTTTTTCAGCGCGGCCTTGTATATGAGAACACAAATTTACGTTCACAAAGTAAAAAAAATAAGCTTGTTTTATTCATAATTCATGTTATTTAAGGAATTTTAATAATAAAAATTTAATTAAACTAATAATACTTAAAAAAATTAATAATTCGATTATTTGAATATTTTTACCGATCATTTGAATATTTTTGCCGATTATTCGCATAACAATGAATTTTAATCATCCAAACACTTCGGTAAGGTATATAGCGACTTAATATTGAAACGACGTCAAGTCAAACTGGTTATTTTTTAATATTTTGCTTTGTTTGAAAGATTCGAATTTGAATTATTGATAAAAAACTATGCACGTCGTAATGAAATATAGATTACTTCATAATTTTTCGGATTTACGTAAAAGGTTATTTTAAATCATGTGAGTACGCTTGTGCAAAGTTATTGCGGAAAGATTAGTGTGAAACGTCAAAAGGTATTTCTTAGATTTGGTTGTATGGACTGTAGAGGTAAGGAGTACAGACTCTGCATAAAATAGTGTCCGTAGGAAAGCGCTAAATAAGGGTGGCGCCACTGTAGCTGTAGTCTAAATTTTAAAGAACTTTTTATAATTTTTTTATTGCACAGACTTTCACCATAATTATTTTTACAGTAATTAGTTTATTGCCTTCAAAATTTTTAATTTAAAAATTACGCTTAATGTATTTTACGGCGATTTATCATACCCTGTATATTTTGCCCGTGATATATTATATTAACACAGTTTAGACCTTACAATTGTGAAAAGCCTTTGATATCAGGCAATGCTGCAGCTCGCCGTAGGTATTTACGCGTCCAGCGTGTTCAGCTACTCGAGCGCTATTGTGGAGAATTTTTGAACTGTTATTTACTACTTACAGATGGACACATTTTAAACTATTCGCCTATGGGATGTTGTCCTCTTTACTTCTATACTTCCTGGTTGGTTGACTATAAAGTTGTTCAAAACGACTATAAGTCAATAGCACGCTACAGACTATAAACTCCAGCGCGCTATTAAATACGCTATGTTTTAGTACTCTTATTAGTTTGTGGCTATGTTATAGCGCGATATTTATAAGAAAGCATGTAAGAGGTCGGCAAGCGCGTTAGGACGGATAGGTCTTAAGATGAACATGGACAAAACAAAGATCATGTTTAATGTCCATGTCACACCTATGCCGGTAGTTGTTGGGAGCACTAAGCTCGAAGTTGTTGACGAGTACGTTTACCTGGGACAAATAGTCCGGCTAGGTAAGTCCAACTTCGACCGAGAGGTCAATCGACGGATTCAACTCGGCTGGGCAGCGTTCGGGAAATTACAACGCATCTTCTCGTCAGGTATACCTCAAAACCTGAAAACTAAGTTGTACAACCAGTGCGTGTTGCCAGTGATGACATATGGAACTGAGACGTGGTCCTTCACTGCTGGCCGTATGAGGACGCTCAAAGTCGTTCAGCGAGCTATGGAAAGGGCTATGCTCGAAGTTTCTCTGCGTGATAAACTTAGAAATGAGGATATCCGCAGTAGAACCAGAGTGACCGACATAGCCCAACGGATTAGTAAGCTGAAGTGGCAATGGGCTGGCCATATAGCTCGAAGAACCGACAACCGTTGGGGAAAAAAGGTTCTCGAGTGGCAGCCTCGTACCGGTAGACGAAGTGTAGGGCGACCCCCCACTAGATGGAGTGACAACCTGGTAAGACATGCAGGAAGTCGATGGATGCAGGTGGCTCAGGACCGTGCTTTGTGGCATACCTTGGGGGAGGCCTATGCTCAGTAGTGGACTTTTAAAGGGCTGTAATGATGAATGATGATGTAAGAGGTCGGCAAGGGTGTTAAGTTTTGCAGCACGCTATATCTCGTAGCACGTTAGATTACATGTCGTTCATTGGATATACCGCGTGCTATATAAGAACATTATTTTGTAATAAATCGCATTTTCGACTTAAATAAAATAAAGTGGTAAAGAAAAAACAATGAACACTCTTTCATACTTTTCAGGCTTATATATATATATATATATATATATATATATATATATATATATATATATATATATAATGACTTTTTATAATCATAGTTAACGTTATTTTAACCTTAATGTAAATTATTAATCAATTAAAGGTGTATTTAAAAGTTTATTGATTGAATATACAAAAGTTAACTATTTACATACACTATTATATACACTTTTGTATCTTTATTTTATTTACATTTAAAAACATTAGTAAGGCTACTTTTGTTGACAACTGTGACCTTCGATCACTTATAAATATAAAGTATAAACGAACTAAATAACGTCTAACACCAAAATTAGATCGCACGCGATGAATAGTGTGCTACTAGATCAAATTTGTGTCACACGTCCACTTCTAACAGCGCTGCTGCTAGAACTAGTTCCGCAAGATATGAATACTTAATAGCTATTTAAAAGTACGGTGAGCGATATTAATATATATCTCGAGATGTAATATTAAATTACATTATATCCCTTAGTGGAAAGTGGGCTTAAGAATTTTAGAAATGAAAATGAAATGACAACTTTTCGATATTGTTGGATGCGTTTATAAACATTTATTTTATTCAAATATATATTGCTTTCAAATTATCAACCAAGCACGACCTGTTGTTTTTGCGTCCCCCAACAGCAAAAAAATTAAAAAACTGTGGTATCTTACCCCAGCCAATTTGGGAATTTTAGCTAGTTCTTGAATCAGATGAATCAGTCCGATTCAATAGGTTTTTGGATCGATTCAGTGAATCGATGCGGTGCTTGGAATCGATCTAAAAATCGATAATTTTACTCCAAAGAATCGATTTTTCGATTAATCGATTTTAGATCAACATGCCTAGGGCCAATGTGCGGACGAATTTATTTTATTTTAGACGACGGCTCCGTGGCGCAGTGGCTTGGCAATGAGTGACTGTGCCAGGAGTCGCGGGTTTGAATCCCGCACGGAACAAGTATTTGTATATCCTACAAATAATTGTTTCGGGTCTGGATGTGTGTCCTTGGGCAATTTATGTTTGTAAGTTGCCTCCGCGATACAGGAGAAAATCCAAGTGTGGGGGGGTAACGTTTTTATAAAATAATTATAAAAGAATAGTGAACATTAATGGGCTGTAAATAGATATACGATTAGCTTTATTTATTCTTTACATGAATCAGAAACCGGAATAAATACCATTAATTAGAACTAAACTTATTTTAAAGTTAAAGGAGTTATAATCGATAAGTCTATGTTTTAAAATTGGGTTTTGTTTTTAAAGTTTAGCAAAACATGTTCTTGCTTTTCTATCAGACATTTGATGTATATAAAAAACACCTTACAATTTATTGGTAATTTAATTATTTTTTGAGAAAGACAAAAACAATAGCTATAAATATAATTAACACTGATTTAATAATAGGTACTAATTATAACTTAGAACATAAATGAAAAACTCATGACAAGGAAAGTGGCTCAGGACCATGTTTTGCGGCAGTCTGTGGAGGAGGATGTTCAGTAGTGGATTTGTGAAGAGCTGTACATAATGATGATGATGATTCGAAAACTTGCACGATTAAATTATATGATATCGACGCTTTTTTATATAGGATAGGGTGACAAACGAGCACACAGTTCACCTGATGGTAAGTGGTTGCTGTGGCCCATAGACATCTACATCTATCCTCGATTACGAATCAAAATGCAGATGCGTTGTCACCCGTGAGGACTAAGATGAAATGCCTCATTTCATTTAAAAAGTGTCTCTGGTTCTCTACACTCACTATACGAAACACACAATCATTAAGCTACTATTTTACATTGATATTCTGTGAGAGCGTGGTCCTTCCCCGGTCGAACCGACCCATTCGTGCTACAACTATACTTCTAATATAACTGCACGGTTCTACCACGTATAAACGACGTGCTTCATTTTTTTTTCATTTTAAAATTGTTCTCGTAATAATCTGATTGTAAATAAATGTTCATTATTTTTTTTATAAATAGCTTATCGATTAAAACAAATGTTTAAAAATAATTGAATCGCGCTAATTAAAGTAGTAGGAATGTTTAAAGTTGAAATTGGCACTAAAAGGCTGGTAATTGGGCCATCCACCCTACAAAGCGTGAATATAAAATTTTAATCAGATGCGTGTAATCACTCTGGGAGCTTGTAGCAAACTAAACTCGCGGCCAACGTGTGGACGCGGCGACCAAACTCTGCCAACAATCATTTGATCTTTTGTAAAAAACCGACACCACATGGATCTCGCGCCAACTTGCGGGCCATCGTTCCAATACATACCAATGAAGCCCAAACACCCCGTCTACACATTCGCCACTGTGTTGGCCAACGTGTAGAGGCGCCGTAAAACGTCGCTTCAGTTCGGCAGACTTCGGCTCGGTGTTTGTGTGCGTGCGACTAGACGTATGCGTGTAGAATAGCTGCTGTAACTTGAATTAATATCAAAGAAAAAAACAAAGAAAAAAATACTACATAAATAAATAATTATAATTGCATAAGTTGACAAAAATATTATGCAATAGCTTTGCCGCGGCAGTCCCCGAGTGCCACACGTATTTTATTGTTTTTATTTTTTGAAAAATATCAGTGCCATAGGCTTCCACTTCGTTCATCTATTTTTTTCCAGATGGTAAAAAGATCCTTCAGTATATAACCAAGATTTATTAAGTTTATTTAGATGGTAAACAATCAACTGAACTATCCTGTGTCTAATATTACTTTCACTACTTTTCAGAGTCGCTATTTTGAATGTGATGACAGCAGTGAGGGTTATAGTTCTGATGAGAGCGAGTACACACCACGGTACACTCTCCAAGCTGAACCCCTTGTGGAACAAGATCACGAAGACTCAGATGATGAAGTAGGTTTTAGATTTTTTTAACTGGATACTAAAAACACGCCAAAATAGAGGTATTTTTAGGTTGAATGAAACTAATTTTACGTATCTTATTTTGATTAGACTGTACTGTAAGTACTGTATTGAACTGGATGGGACTCTATACCTGTGCAACTTCTCAAATTATCAGTACATCTAGTAGTTCCACCTTTGACTAAATTATTGAGCTCTGTTATGCGCAAGGAATCTTTCCAAAAGTTTTTAAAAAATCGCTGATCACTCCTGTTTATAAGGATGGACCACGAGACGAAATGTCCAATTACAGGACTATTTCAATTCTCTCGTCTATCTCTAAAATCTTGGAAACATCATTAAATTATAGACTTATTAAATTTTTAGAATATAATAAAGTTATATCTCCTTCACAATTTGGATTTAGGTCGGGGAAGTCCACTGAAGACGCGGTAATTCAATTGACAGAATTTGTAACATCAAAGATATGACAGGCCTGTTGGTCTAGTGGTTAGTGACCCTGACTGCTATGCCGGAGGTCATGGGTTCGATTCCCACCCAGGACAAATGTTTGTGTGATGAGCACGATCATTTGTTCTGTGTCTGGGTGTAATTTATCTATAATATTTATGTATTTAGAAATATATAAGTATGTTTATCAGTTGTCTAGTACCCATAACACAAGGTCTGCTTAGCTTGGGACTAGATGGCGTTGTGTGATAGTTGTGGAATATATTATTATATTATTATTATTATATATTATTATTATATAAAGTTGATGCAAAGCAAAAATATTTGGGGATTTTCCTCGACCTAGCCAAGGCGTTTGACACGGTCTCGATCCCTATCCTTGTGAGCAAGTTAGAACGTGTTGGTATTCGTGGCAATGCACTCATGATTTTTAAGGACTTCCTATGTGACCGTAAACAACAGGTTAAAGTTGGTGAATATGTCAGCCCCGAAGAACCGATTGTATGTGGCGTTCCACAGGGAAGTATACTAGGACCTAGTCTCTTCCTTATCTACATAAATGATTTATGTCAGCAACCTCTAGTAAACGGCAAAATATTTACCTATGCTGATGATACAGCTTTAGTCTTCCATGGTAAGACTTGGGATGAGGCTCGACATAACGCTCAGCTGGGACTTCACAGAGTTGGCCATTGGCTCGGCGCTAATCTCCTAACCATAAATATTTCGAAAACTACATACATACAGTTTTCCTTGGGAAACACTGGATCCGTAACCCCCTGATCTTAAGGTCCACTCGTGTACTACCCCTGTCAATACTACCCCTGTCAATACTACCCCTCCATGTTCATGTCTTGCAATTACTAAATCCAATAGTGTCAAATATCTTGGTGTAATACTGGACGACAAACTTAACTGGCGCTCACACATAGAGCTTACAACTGAACGTACTAGAAAACTTATTTGGGTGTTTAAAAAGTTAAGATACACTGCTGATTTACCTCTCTTGCGTTCAATTTACTATGCTTTACTTCAGTCCGTAATTGGGTACTGTATAAACGTCTGGGGAGGAACCTGTAAGACCTTTCTAATCCGCCTGGAAAGGGCACAAAGATCCCTCTTCAAAGTCATGACCTTTAGGCCATACAGATTTTCCACTAAAGAATTTTATGAGATATGTCGAGTATTAACTGTGAGGCAGATGTACATTTTGAAATTAATTACTAAACAGCATATGGTTAACATTTATAATGCCACTGATTGTAACAAAAACCGGGTTATAAAAAATGTGTGTTTACCAATAACATGTCGAACAGTCTCTACTAGACGGCAACATGCATATAAAGCTATATATATTAAATACAACAAAATTAATAAGTTAACAAATATATATCCCTTAACTAGTATAAAAGTGAAAATTAAAATTAAGAATTGGCTATTAGGATTCGATTATGAACAAACTGAATCGATATTAGTATAAAAATTTTTTTTACAAACATGCAAAAAAAAATTGTTTAAATCTTAAATTTTATACACACACACGAATACATGCATACGCACGCACACACACGCGCACTCACACACACTTGCCCAGACACGCACCCAGCCGCAAGCAAACACACACACACACACACACACACATACACACACGCACACACAGATTTTAAAATTGCTTTATTTACATAAAATAAGTAGCTGTCATTATATTAGGGAGATCGCTAACTTTCGTAACACAGGTTTTCTAACCTAGCTCGGGAGTCAGAGGCTTAAAAAATATTGTAACAAATTTTATGTCAATAAAGATTATTATTATTATTTTAAAAAAAACTTCGCAATTGTTCAGTGATTTGACTTGACCATAGGTTAAAATCAAAGCGAAAGAAACGTAATTTTTTTTTGTTTTTCAATGTGTAGTAATCGCATAAATATAAAAAAAAATTTTATTACAGGTTTTTGTAAATTCAGTGCCGGATGACAATACATCAACCGATTTTCTACTTGAAGGAAAGGAAAAAATGTCAGTATCATCCGATATGTTAGATGATGAGGAAGCAAATCTTGACTTTGAAGTGGCCGCCGGGACTCCAGTTCTACTCAACTATTTGCTTACACACCCTATCACTTGCGTTATTCAATAGACACAACTATATAAATACATCGTGAATCATCTTATCAGGGAAGGCTTTTACTTTTACGTGGAAGCTGCAGCTATATCATGGCTATAGCACGGATGTGTCGGTTTGTTGACAGGGGAAGGACCACGCTCTCACTTAATGAGTGTAGAGAACTGGATACTCTTTTTACCGGTAATAAGTCTAGGCATTTCGCCTTAGCCCGGAGACAATGTGTCTCCATTTTGAATCTGAGTCAGCAGCTTACTCAAGTATCATTTCTTACAGTCGCTTGTACAAAAACTATTTTGGCATAATTAAATATGGATTAAACGAATTGCTGTTTAAAATGCCGTTGTGTTAAGAATTTTTAGTTAAGAAAAATGATTACAGTGCATGTTAGCACATGTGATGGTCAACGTTCATATTCCGTGCCGATTTTGTACATGTTATTAGAGGCTTTTTAAACAAAATTAATTGGAGTAGAGTTTGATCTTTATCAGCAATAAATAAGATTTGAATGAATGGCGTGTTGAATTGCACGTAACATTAATCTTACTATTGTATTTTTTTTATAGAAGAGGGGGCAAACGAGCATGCGGTTCACCTGATGTTAAGGGACTACCGCCGCCCATGATCAACCGCATCACCAGGGGAATTGCAGGTGCGTTGCCGGCTCTTTAGAAAGGGGTAAGCTCTTTTCTTGAAGGTCCCCAGGTCGTATCGGACCGGAAAATTCGCCGGTGGTAAACTATTCCACAGAGAGGTCGTACGCGGAAGAAAACTCCTTGTGAAACGTACAGTGGTGAACCGCCAAGAATGCAGATAGTGTGGATGGTATCGGGAAGTTAGCCGCGTACTGCGTTTTATCCAGTTTATCAGTTTTATCCAGTACGCTTGCATACAAAATACTTTTATTGTGTTCCGAATGAAATGGTGCTTATAAATTAATAAAGAAATTTGATATAGGTAAATAAAAAAAAATAAAACAAAATAGTGGTGTGTGATTGTGATTATTCTGTTGAAATATATGTGCAGCAAATTAAAAAATAAATTAACAGTATTTTAGCAATACTTAGTTGTAATACGGCTTACTCTTTGGCGTTAATCCACTGATTGCAGCTCAGCACGTCCACACAACTTGTGCATAGCTACAGCAATTGCAGTTGTATGGAACTCTATAGAAAATTACTAAATAACTAAACTAATAACACATAATATGCTGCATGCATTTAGTGTTCACCGGCCTTAAAGGAAAATAAAATAAAAAGTAAGCTTTATGCGTGAATCATCCGGTACGTTTCTATTAGCTCTATAATTATGTGCTCTATAAGTTAATATAATATAAGTTAAGTTAATATAATAAGTTATAGTGTAAGGTGGCGAACAACCGCTGTCTACGCGAACAACATTATGCTGAGTAAGGACTACTTCACATTGACAGTATCTACGCCTCTAACAATCTTAATCTTTATTACAACTCTATCATAATTACTTTTTATATCTGTGTATTGTGTACTGCTTCACTGTGAATAAATATATATATATATATATATATATATATATATATATATATATATATATATATATAATATTGAGATATATAAAGAACTCAAAAATATTTACTCTGACAACATAATTTAAACGAGTTCTTAAAATAGATATTCATAAACTCTTCCTACAGTATTAATAATTAGTTGTACTTATATTTGTTTTATTTTTAATGAATTTAAATTGCACAAATAATGAAATAATATGTGATATATAAATAATTTTGTTATTTTTATTTATATACATAAATAACGTAAAAGTAATAACTTTAAGTATCTGCTTAAATATAGTTAGTTCTAAGAGCCTTTTTTAAGGATATTGATCATTATAGTCACTAAAATTGCTTTACCTATTAACAATTAATATTACACAATATTTAAGAAATCAATGAAATTAGTACCTGCGTAAAGTTAATGCATCCTTTTTTATTTAAAATTATAAATAGTAACACCTAATTATAAAGGTTTACAGTAATTATCACTCATTAGTAAGCCAACTACTCAAAGAAAGAATTTCATTATAGTATGAGTCTGTCACGTAACACGTCATACGTACCAATACTGCTCGTATTATACGTACGAGCAGTATTGTATTTAACAATAAAATTGCTTAAAATAGTTTTAAGGGGATATCCAGGCAGCATTTCGTCCATACAAACGTATTCCTCCCCCCCCCCCCATGATAAATTCCTGGATAATGATACTAGACCAAATTTGTTTTTAATATTCCATGAGAGCAAATATTTTTTACGATACAATGAATAGATGTTCTACGACTGTCACGTTATCATTTATCATAAATAATTGATTTTAAAAACTCGGAATCTTCTAAGTGTCCCTGAACACCGCTGTTTAAGACATCCAGACAATACTTCTTATATGAAATCTCAAAAAATACTAAAATGCGTGAGTACAGTATGATGATTGTGTCAATTTTTATTTTTTATGGATGAAACGAGTTTTAGACTCGTTTAACGTAGTGATTTATGTACTCTTTGAATCAGAACGAATCTGAACGGTGGTCTCTTTCGGGTTCTTGAAAGTACTCTGTTGCAGTCTCTCGTAGATCTTCGTTAGGAGCAAAAGTGTTCTGTGTATGGAGTGTAGAAGTAAGGAGTACAGACTGTGTCCATACAAAAAGTGTCCATAGAAAACCGTTAAATAAGGGTGGCGCCACTATAACTACGGGGTATTTTTTAAACTTTAAAGAACGCACCGGAAAATATTAGTGGGATAGACGACTTTTTCGATGTTATATTTACTAAATAAAATTATTTTAGATTTTAGAGCTACTGATCAGTTTAGCAGCACACTTAAACCGTCGACAACTGCTAAGTTCATTTCATCCTAGTAGCTACTCCAGCGCTGTTGTGGAGAGTTTTTGAACTGTTATTTACTGATTACAGATGACCACGTTTTTAACTATTCTACTATGGGAGTTGGCACTCCTTGCTTCTACACTCCATAGTTCTGTGCTCTCAGACTGTTGACCGTTGTCTATATCAGTTGTATCTTGCTACCTTAGAGGCTTAGACCATTGGTTTGAATGGTATTCGCTTGCTACATATTTATTTATCGTAGAGGTAAGAATGACTATCTCATTCATATGGGGGATAAGATGAAAAAGTGTCCAACTTTAAGTTGTAAAATAACAGTTCAAAAACCTTCCAGAATGGCGCTAGCGTAGATACAAGGTACGGTAGGAATGTAGCAGTTGTAGATGGATTGAAGTGTGCCGAGTTAAAAAAATATTTTTAAGACTTAATGTTTTTTATGGCAATAAAAATATTTTTAAACTTTTTTATAATTTATTTTAATATTTTCTTCACAGAGTACTTTCTAAATTTTCTTCATCCAAGAATTGACACTTGTGAAATATTATATCATTTTGTTTTTGATGAAGTTTTGTTCTGTAATTTTGAACAAAAATTTATTACATTATTTAAAAATTTTAATTATATAAAAAATTAAAATTTACCCTGCTGCTATTGTAGCGTCACGCCACCCTTATTTAACGCATTTCAACGGACACTTCATACACAGAGATAGTACCTACCCTCCATAATGTGTGGGTTGTATAATTAGGCCATTCAGGTACAGCGCGACTCTATTCTTTCTTGCAGCCCAGATGTATTTAGATATTATATAAGTATATTAGATGTAATTATTATTTATCAACCATCAACCTAATGAAAAGGCACCTATACTCGTATAGAGAGGAATTAAAGAAGCAATTCCAAACATTATGCTGGACTATTTTTCATTTATTTTATAATGTAGGATTACAATCGCCATTGTGGGACTAGTGGCCGTCTTACTCCACAATGCTTATTAATATTAGTAGGAAGTATATATCGTAAATCTATATAAGTTCAAAGTATTTTTAAGGACAACTTCTTGCTTTATAATATAGTACTTATAAGTATAACGCACAATACAAAATCTAGTTGTAATATTTGATTTGTAAGAATGGGAATTAAAACACTTTTGTCCATTTTCTGCTATTTTTATTAGTTTTCTTTTCTTTTGTTAACAATGTTCGAAATTTCCTTTATTTGAATAGGTATTTAAATATGAAATTGCTGATAAAGAGTACTGGTGAAGCCTTCAATCCCAAGGTGAAGGTTAAACGAATGTGATCTCTATTACATTGGACAAACAAAAAGATCAATAAAAAAAGAGCACATAGCTGATGTGAAGAATCGACGCTCCAGGAAGTCTGTGAACACGTATAGGATCGCCCCCGTCACTACATCCCATTTAATAAACCACAAATCCTTGTTAAAGAACACCGATTCCTCCCAAGGATGATTCGCGAGGCTATTGAAATAAAAAAAATCCTAATTTCAATAGAGAAGATGGCTGGGTGCTACCATCTACTTGGGATCCTATAATTAACAAAATTAAATCCCAACCCAAGCAAACAACTGCAAGACTTAGATACTATAATTTCATACTGCGCAGATCGGAACAAAAATTAATAATTTTAATCTGGAGGTAGCTGCGGTTAACTATGACATTGGGACGTCGAACACTTCAGTTCCCTTCGAGACCATGGGTGTTGTAAAGTACTCGAATATAAAATAAATTAATATATGCGATAAAATCCGAAAAAAATAAATTTTATTTATATGTGAAGTTTTCGCGTAAATTTAAGAAATCATTATTTATCGCGTTTAATTTACTTGATTATTAATTCCCGACGTTTCGGGTGCTTTACAGCACTCATGGTCACGGGTGACTGAGGTGATTGACGTCCCGATATCAGTGTTAACCCGAATTACCTTTAGCTTTGCTATTGAAATTAGGCTGTTTTTTAATTTCATCCTTGGTATTAATCAATGTTTTTCTGCGAGGATTTGCGGTTTATCAAATCAGATGTAATGGCGGGGGGCGGTCTAGAATATGATAATAAACTGCATAATTCCCGGAACGTAGGTGTTTCACGTCAGCTATAAATTCTTTTACGCGGGTTAT